CGGCCTAAATGTGAATTGTAGACGACAAGAAAAGTGATAAGACTCTTATCCGAATATAAACCGCCGGACCTGTCTGCCTTAGGCCATGTGAGGATGGGTTCTAGAAATCAGATAAGATTACGTGTTCTTTCTTCACACATGGGACTGTCTGATTAATTAGCTGATGAAAGAAGAGAGCTCACTAAGAGACATCATTTCTAAAACGTCACTTTAAGTTTCAGCCAAGAGTTTTTGGTCTCAGATAATCTTTGTTTGTTTCTTGGCACATCAACTTCTCCGTGTCTCTTTTTTACCATATTATGTCTGCGGTTGCATTGCACACTGTAAAACCATTTTATGAAATGTTTTTTCTAATCAGAAAATGTAAAGGAAATATTCAATGCAAATGCTGATTGTTGGGCCTGGACCTGCGGCCCAACATTCTGAACAGTTCGCAAGGTTCAGATCGCCAGAAGAAGCCAAGGCCCAGCAAGTCTGGGAGAAGCCCGACGGGCTGCCAGAAGCCCACTCCAACCTTTAACCGCGGTCTGACCACACCCAGGGGATAACCGCGGTCAGCTGAACTCGAGTTAAACCCAACACCGTTCACTATAAATAGATATCACGGGACAGTACAGAAAGGGATTCACTCTTCTCTCAAGGAATACAAGTACCACTACTCGCGAGCTCACTAAATTGTAATCTTCCGTACACAACATCTAGTAGTTCCGGTCTGTCCGATCTACCACGATCTCCGAACTAGCAAACTGATAGCCCGGGATCTGTCCGGACTATCTTTAGCAACCTATTTATACTTACCGTCCTTTGACTCAACTTTCTATACACGGAATTCTCCGACCTCCGATCTACTATAAATTCATTGTCGACCTGCTTGGATCAACAATTGGCGCGCCAGGTAGGGGGCTTGGAGATTTTCTAACGCGAAGAAACATGAGTCCGAACGTGTCCGCAAGTCAACAACCCGGAGAAACATCAAATCAGGGAATCTTAGAGGCAGCTCGCGAAACTCCACTCATCACAATGGAGTCCAGCCCGGTCATTACACAGACCGCCGCCACAAATGAAGAAACGAATGTCACAGCCCGTGGCCGCGAAGCAATATCAAATGCGGACGAACAGATTGATCTTGTTCGCGTCCTGGGAACCCTCATGAGACGTTTTGACCAACAAGACGACATGGTCCGTCAAACAAACGCCCGTTTGGACTCCCTCACAACGGCTCAGAACGTCATACAAGAGCAGCTTGACTCCTCCCGACCTGCAAACTTGCAACATCCTAGGGCAAACTCGTCTCCGTCTCTCGCTGAAGGACATGGACGCCCAACCATCCCGCATCGGACTATTGACTTCAATACCCCGTCGCGAACTCCGATCAGCATGCAACTCGAACGTGCAACCCATTCGAGAGAGCACTCTCCAGCCCATG